GAAGCGATCGGGGCGGGGACAGGGAGCTCACCGGGAGCCTGTTCGCAGGCTACTTTGGCTATAACAAAGTTCGAGTTCTCAGCATATTTCCCAAACTCGATACTTTTTAACCACTGCTACTATTTTACTAAACCTACATATTTACTAAAGAGCGTCAGGTAGTTTGTTTAAAAACGGTACAAAATATTTGATCGGCGTAATCATTCCGAAAGGCGCAGGCAGCTCCGAAATTAAATTCTAGCTTACTATTGTGTGATCTCGCCTACCTTTCCTATATTTTGCTCTCAGAAAAAGCATTGTGCTTTGTTTTTTTTTTTGGAGGCATGCGTCAAGGGTTTTCTCCATAAAATAACCCACAAAAAATATCTAATTGTTCGCGTAACATACGAAGGTAAACTTAAACAACCCTCTAAGCATCGCGAGGAAAAGATCTGTATGACCAAATATTAGACATATTAGTACAGCGGGAGTCACAGTTTTTTTGCCGATTTATGTCTTTGCTTGCGTTGTTGTCCGTTTGCAGTGCATAAGCCAACGGTTTTGAAACTGGTTTTAAAATACAAGCGACACACGAAGGTACATGTTTTCGGGCGCAAACAAGTGGACAACCGCGAGATTGCAGTACGTGACCCGTATTGTGCAGCCGCCGCTTTAATTAAATTTTGGCGGGAAAATTGTCAAATGCTTCTTCGTCCTTCTTCGTAAACGTGGCTCATGTTGCGTTGTTCAATGATGTACTATTCTCATTATCGTAAGTTGTCATTTCGCAAAAACTTGGTTGAGGAAATCTAGTTTGTCCTCTTTTTCCTAACATGCGATCATACCTTGCCTCCCCGGTGATCACAGCCTGAAGGCAGGTTATTTATTTTAGTATTAAAACAGCTTGAAACCGGCTCTATGTCTACCTGAGAAATAACAATAACTAAACATTTGTTGCCGGGGTAACAATCTCTTTAATCACAGCATTAAGAATTTTTAAAGAACGACACTGTTACTGTTACTTCGAATGTTAATTTGATTGTGACAAACGCAGAATATCAGGAAAGAAAGAACTGTTATGAGGAAATAGATGTAAGCGCCTTTTGAAGATCGTGTCGGCTTTTGAATTCTTACAAAGCAGTGGTCATTGCCAAGCCTATGAAAGAGTGTTTGGCTCATCCACTGCGAGAGCAAAGATGGAAACGTCAACAACCAATAGAAACCCCACACAGTTTAATAAGTAGAACACATTTTACCATTTGAATGCAGCTGAATAATAATTAGAAATGTCATCAACGCACCAATGGAGACTGGGACGAGCTGACGCCAAGGATGGACGCACGTTTTTAAGTTCGCTCGCTCGAGAGGCAAAATGCTTGCAAATGTAGGGGATAGTTGAATATGACAAGAAATAGAAGAAGAAAACGCAAGAAGTTAAGCAGTTCCTCAAGTTTAGAAGGCTCTTCAACACTGCAAGACGAAGTTTCAGGCCCGCAAATGGCGTCCGAAGACAGCATCGACGAGGCGCCATCACTGGCCGATGTGTGGAAAGTTCTCACGGAAATCAAATCAAACACAGAGAAGCTAGTAAATGACGTGACTTGTTGAAGGTAACTTACAAAGAGCTGCAAGAAAATTTAGCTTCCACAAAGGTCCAAGTAGATATTTTGATGGAAGNTAAAGAACGACACTGTTACTGTACTTCGAATGTTAATTTGATTATGACAAACGCAGAATATCAGGAAAGAAAGAACTGTTATCAGGAAATAGATGTAAGCGCCTTTTGAAGATCGTGTCGACTTTTGAATTCTTACAAAGCAATGGTCATTGCCAAGGCTATGAAAGAGTGTTTCGCTTATCTACTTCGGGAGCAAAGGTCGAACTGTCAACAACTAATAGAAAACCCAAAAAGTTTAATAAGTAGAGCACATTTCACCATTTGAATGCAGCCAAACAATAATGAGAAATGTCATCAACGCACCAATGGAAAGACGACAATTTAGGCCATCCGCACCCACAACTGGTTTTAATTGCCGTTTTCACTGTAATTTAGACAGGTTGTTTTCCAGAGTAAAACTTGTAGGATACGCTAAGAACTTTCCCGTTTCAAATTTTCTCCTTCAACTAAAATTGAAACTACAATCGAAAAACTGACTGCTTATTTGCATGTATTCCTTTTCCGCAGATTTTCAAACAGTACAGTGCCCATTTTCTTAACGAATATCACGGGTAGGTAGAAAGATCAAGGATTGCAATGTTACTGCGTTATTGACACCGCCGTTCACGAAAAGGAAATGCTTTTTTTTTTTAAATGAGCAATTACCGCGAGAGTGCATGCAGTTTCGGTTAGGTTGTCTGAGTTTAGCTAGGTTTTCTTTGCCTTGATATGTCACGGCGCTTTAACTTCTCCTCCTCGGAGTTTTGGGTTCCCGAAGTGTTCGGAACTGAGAAGATCGGGTCATCTCTTGGCAACTCCTAATAATTACAAAGAGACCTATACGTATCACTTTCTGAATGTTTTTCTCGTATGCTATCATGTCCAATTGTGCAGTGGTTATCAACTCTAACATGAGGCTCTTTCCTACAATTTTAGTTTGAAATTCGAAATATTCCCATTAGCAAATGAAACAGCATTTTCTGGTTAAATGTACAGAACTAGAAACGGTTTCTCATATTTCCTAAAAAGAAGACAGCCTCCAGGCCATTCACAATTTTCGAAAATGAGTTTCGTCCTCAAAATTTTTGGTCAGATAGAAAGCCGTTGAGGACACGCTTTTTCGGGAAACGCAGGAAGTATTTAAGTCTCAAAGTCGTTGAGCCTCACCTTGTGATTTGCAAAACTGATGAAACGCTCTTAAATGGTTATTAAACATTACAGAGTTACATTCTTGCGACGAAATGTCTTTTCCTACAAAGTGATTCGCTTATTTGGCGAATATTTGTCAGTATAGACTATTATAACACCAAGCGCTTCCAATTCTCGAGGAATTTTCAAAGAATCACGCAGAAAGTAAAAATATGTTTCTGGAAACATGTTTCCTCGCTTTTAAAGAGCTATGACAGCTAGGAATTGTTTCAGCAAGATCGCGGTCCTGTTCAGGAAAATAGAACGACCGAACACCATGATCTTGCACTAGACTGAAAAAACAAAAACGAAACGGCAACGTCAATTTTACTGTGTAGGAATACAATGACCTGGACCAACGCTTATCGTAATCTTTACTGAGCCGTTCAAACGCAAAGGCAAGCTTTTTGCAATTTAGTTTCAAGACTCTAGAACTCAAAAATAACCCCTGGGTTATTCAGAGACAAACCTATGCACGTAAAAGTCAACGTCGCCACAGCTCCATATCAGCCCGTCTAAGTCCAAAACGAACGCTATTTTA